ATCTTGCCTCTTCCTCCTATTCCCCCTCCATTTGTGCTTCCATGAAAGTTAACTCATTGGCTTAACTCATTTTTTTCTTTAAAGGAAACAAAATGGCTTTAAAGGCAATCTATTTGTTTATAGATTCATTCTGTTAAGTAGCATATTGATTTCCTTCCATTCATTCTTCTGCTGATGAGTTAATCAGCTCATTAATTAATGAGGGATATTGAGTGAGCGCCCGTTATGTTCCAGGCACTATTTCAAGTGCTGGACGCAGTCGCGAACGTGATGGACTGGCTGGGCTAGGGTTTCAGGAGGAAACCGAACGCACCCCAGATGGCGAAGGGAGGACTCACAGAGGCGTGGGCAGAGGGAAAGGAACAAACAAGGATGGCCAAGTTTCCCAGGACAGCAGGAGCCATTTCCCCGAGTGCCAAGGGCAAGGGGAGGGCCAGTGTCTGGGGGGCTGACTGAGAGCCTTGGAGGGAGGCTGCCTGGGCCGGGGCGGGGAGGTGCAGTTGGATGCAGTGGTTACCAGAGCTGCTGGACAGAGCAGGGAGGCAGCGGGGAAGAAGCGCCCCCGCCTCTGTCTCTTCCTGCCGCTTGTCTGCTGCTGCCTCTCCTGGGCTGGCAGCCAGTTGTAAGAGAAGAGGCTGACACTGTTCTTCAGGGCCAGCCTTCCAGGACAGGAGCAGCACAGAGAAGTTGGGGGACGAGCTGGGAGGCAAGGAGAGGGAACAGCACAGAGACCAAACCCCAGCTCTCTGGGTGACGTATTCTGGTTGGAGGACACAGATCAACAAACAGGTAAACGTTCATCAGGTGGTGATTGGTGCCGTTCCAAAGGTAAAAGGATGGAACAGACAGAGATGAGGGGGTTGATTAATTGTGAGGGTTGCATCTAACACTGGGAGGTTAGAGGTCCTTTCCTGTGGGTCTTATTTGAAGTGGAGACCAGAGGGAAGTGAGGAGGGAGCCCTCTGAGTATCTGAGAGAGGGTGTTCTGGGCAGAGAAACAGCAGATAACCAAGGTCCTGAGACAACGTGTATTAGACTTGCTTAAGAACAACCAGGAGTCCAGTTGGCCAGAGTGGAGGGGAAGAGGGAAGAGAGAGTGTGGACCGGGGTCAGTCAGGTGTGAGTCAGTGAGGGTCAGAGCCCGTGGACCTTGCTAAGACATGGCCCTGAGCGGGAGGGGAGCCACTGGGAGCAGGGCGGGTTCTGAACAGACCTGACCCGTTAGAAGGAGTGCTCGGCTGCTCTGGGGGTGGTGCTGGGTGGTGGTGTGGGGAGCAGGAGCTGCAGGTGCAGGGAGAGTGGGCAGGAGGCCTCGGCACAGCTTAGCCGAGAGCCCCGGGACGGGGACAGCTGGGACTCAGCTTGATGAGAAGTGGTCAGATCCCGGATAGATCTCAGGGGCGAGGTGGGGCGTGGACAGCAGGTAGGACGGTGGACAGAAGGTGATGCCATTTACCTGGAGGGGAAGACTGAGGGGAACAGGTTTGGATACAGTGGGTTTGAGATGCATGTTATTCATCTACGTGGAGTAGCTGAGTGCAGCCCAGGAGGACCGCCCTGGCCTCAGACACACGACCGTCATCATGTCTTCGCTCTGCCAGAAACTGACCCAGCCACTTTGCTGGCTTCATTTGGTTACCTTAAGGCTGAGGTCCCATGTGGTATCTGAGTGACGATGTCATGTAGTCTGGATGGGAACGTGGGGTGCAGGTCTGGGCTGGTGATGTAAAATGTGGGAATCATTAGTCTAAAGAAGGGATCGGAGTCATCTTGGGGTCAAATGCAGAGAGAAAAGGTCGAGGGGAAGGAGGCTCCACAGAAGAACGTGGAGGGTGGCTAGTGAGGTGGGAAGAACCCAACAAGCTCAGGGGAGGGGCTCAGTGAGCCTGGAAAAGGTCTTAGGTCTTAGCAGTGTCCGAGCTGACCTCCTCTGCCCGCTGACTTTCCTCCAATGTCTAGACACGTGCTGAGTCTCCCTGACAAACACAAAGTCATTGAAATGTGCTCAGGGTGGCAAAAGTGTTCTACATTCTTGTGAGTCAGCTCTGGTCAAGTGGGAGAAGAAATATTTATCTTGGACCAGCTGAATTTGATGAATGATTGACCTACAGATGTTAAAAATGGGTAGAATTTACCAGTCTCTGCCAGGTGTTGAGTATTATGTCCACATATGGTTATTGATCCCCACACATGTTATTATGGGGCATGTTGTGATGTTTATGATACAAGTCAAGAAGCTGAGCTCAGAGAGGTTAAGCGAGTTGTTGATGGTCACACAGCTGGTTGGCAGCAGGGTCAGTGTTTGAAGCTGGGTCACTGTGGATGCCAGAGCCTCACTCCAAACAGCTTAGACCAAACTGATGAGCAGGGAGGAGGGTCTGAATTTAGAACATTCCACTCCACTTAAACAAAAATTGAAATTTTGAATTTATTTCAAAATGGTGACTAAACCGAGGCATACCACTGACGGGCTTGTGAAGTTAAAGTGACAGCTCCCTGAGGGCTCCAGTCAGGCCCAAAGGGATACGCACTGAGGGTGTGATCAGCAGAGACAGGCTCTTTAAAGTTGGGGGATTTTCAGAAGTTTTCCACCCTAATTTCTGAATATCGTAAAAAAGCCCTTCTGTCATTTTTCTTTTGAAAACAGTTTTAGCGGCAAAGCAGAACTGTTTGTTTTCCTCACTTTATTTTTAAAAATGTAGTAGTTATATGTTGACTTACTTGAAATCAGAGGGAGGCAAACAGAGCCCCCTGGTGGGTGACCCTGCCTGTCCCCGAAGGCTCCTGTGGCTGGGAACTAACTCAGCTTTTCCACTTTTTAAGGGGCTGAGATTCTGAGGGTGTCCCCAGGGCTGTGTTTGAGTTCACTGACTTTTCTCATCCAAAAGGGTTTGCTTTGTTCTCGATCATTTTTCCAACTAAGTTGTCAAGGCCTGGTCCTGTGGGCTTCCTGGTCAACCTTCCCGAGAAGGGACCTGGGGGCAGAGAGACCTAAACAGAACACCTAGAAGGAGCCAAGTGGACCAGCTGGACTCGAATCCACCCCAGTGGACTCAGGTAGAAAAGAGGATTAACGGGCAGACCTTGGAAGCTCATGGCTGAATCTGTGGAGAGACTACAGATCCAGGTTCTGGGAAGATGCAGAAAACCCAGGAAGCAGGCAGCAGGAGAGCCTGGTCAGGGGGTCCCTGAGCCCCTGCTGCTGGGCCCTCGGTGTTCTTGCCACCAGACTCTTTCCAGGCAGCCACCTCTGCACAGAGGACACATCCTCAACTCTCCCACCTCTCTGTGTCACAATCAGGGTCCAGTGTTGGTGGGCCCACCCAGAGGTGCGTCCAGGCTGGGCAGCCTCGCTGAAGCTTTCTGAGGGCAAGACAGGTCTCAGCGGGTGTTTTGATGTCTCTGCTCAGTTTGTCAGTCGGTCATCAAGTATTCATTAAGTGCCTACTATGTGCTAGACACTGTTCTGGGCACTGGGGACACAGCAGAGACTAAAAGAGATGAGGTTCCTGCCCCCCATGGAGTCACGGTCTGTCAGGGAAAATGAGACAGGAGCTCAAAAAACAAAGAGACAAATAAGGTAACTTCAGATATTAAGTATGTTGAAAGACAATAAAAGATAATGAGATGGAGGGGGAGACGGAGGGAGAGAAAGGAGAAGGGAGA